TGTATCTCAGCAGTTCACCCTTGCCTAGCACATTCGAGGACAGGGTTTAATCCCCAGCACCATAAACACAGTAACAAGAACCACCAAACCCCCAAAAACCTTTAAGATGTTCATATTTTTTGCTTCCCTTCCTTTTCTCTCGAGTGTGTGTGTGTGTGTGTGTGTGTGTGTGTGTGTGTGTGTGTGTGTGTGTGTGTGTGTGTTGCTGGGGATCAGGGCCTCCTACATGCTAAACAAGCTCTCTACCATTGGGCTACATACCCAGTCCTCAACTTCTTAATCTAAAATTATTCTAATAACCTCAGGAAGATCACTTTTCTTTCCCAGTTTACACAAAAGAGGAAAGGGAAATTATCTAATGGACAGAAGAATTAGTAAATGCCAGGTATTATATAGTACAGATTTAAAGTTGCAGAGCTCAATCATTTGCAAAAATTAAAATTCATTATAAAAATGACCTGCTAGCCAGGTGTGGTGGTACCAGTGCTTGGGAGGCGAAGGCAGGAAGATCTCAAATTCAAGACCAGGAGCTACAATAGCAAATTTGAGGCCAGCCTCGGCTACACAACAAGACCTTGCCTTAAAAAAAAAGAAAAAAGACATGCTACATTAATAATGCAAAGACCTTTAAATAAGAAACTGCAAGCTTACTTACAAATATTTTATTTTTAGTGTTTTTAAACATTTTAATACAACAAAGATATAAAATAATATATATTAGTTAAATCTGGATTTAATTTAGAATCAAGGTATTTACTTATGTACAATACTGTGCTTCAAGGTATGGCTACCCTAGGAACTTTCATATCTTCAAGTAATACTAGCTTTTCTGTGGACAGGGAGACTTAAGTAGAATTCTCAAAACTAAACGTGCCCACTTTAATCCAAGCTAACTTTATTTCCCCTGCTGAGTATCAGTTTGCACTTTCTTTGTTCCATATCAGAAGTATTTCACCACCTTAACAATTCATGGATTTTCTGAATGAAAAATCATTTTTAAGATGACATTACAATAATACCAATTGGCTTTGCTCAGTTCCTCAGACAACCCAGTAGTTCTGATTGAAACAGACTTGAAATAACAATGAAACTGACAGTGTTATTTCGCCTGCCATGTCAAGGCACAAAGCTTCCTTATGCTGAGATATGGAGTACACTGAATAAAAAGTCCTTTGGTTAATTTAAAGAAGAATGCATTCTAAAAACCAACTTTATTGGAAGCTTAAATGATGGCTTATAGATTTCATAAATTTGTATAGAACTTGATACAAGTAATTAATCATGAGTTATTTGAAATTAGTAGCCTTCAAATGGGGTGAGGCTAGGCAGTCTAACATCTATTTCCACACTAGTTTTAGTCATTCAAAGCCACTCACAGAGAGGAAACAAAAACAACTCAAATTCTTCTCATCTGTCACCTGAAGCATTCTGACTTTTGGTGTTACTTAGTAATTCTCCACTACAGAGGTATAGGAGTAATTCAAACTAAACTTATAAATACCAACTGTCCAAACTGCCAAGTAAAGTTGATAATTAAAACTGACATGCTTTATTGGCTTTGAAAGTGTCTGAATGAAACCAATACTGTTTAAGAAAGCAAACAGACTATCCTAAAAGAGTTTTCTTGTCTCAAATGCCTGAATACTTTAAAGAACTGACAAATAACTATACACTGTAATGACTTTTAGTATGGGATATCAGTTTATAAAAAGACTATCAAATACTTAAACGTATTAAAGAGTTTAAGTCAAGAATGTGGTTAACATTCTTCAGCATTTTATATCTAGAATTCTTTAAGTTAATGATGAAATTGACTTTGCTGAATATAGTCATAGCAAGTCTGTTATGAGTATGATTTTGTGAGTGTATGAATAATACTTTTAAAACAGCTGTTCCTAAAACAGACAGTTTCCTATCAGCTATAAAAGGATTTGGCTTCTCTGTTACCCATTCACATATTACAAGGGTTTTGGGAATTCTTATTCCTAAAGCTCAAGCAGGCAGAGTAGGGCAGATCACCACTCACAGTGTCAGTGTTGTGCTCTTGGCAGCCCCCTCAGCCAATAGGTTTTTCTTGGGAACAGCCCATATTTATTCAACTGACTGGTTCTTAGGCTAAACTCATTGTTTTCTGATTTGGAAAAATAATATACAGAGCCAACATAGAGGAGTTACATCTTTGCCATAGCAATTCTGGCCAGACACACTATGGAAAGGACTGTAGCACATTTCTCAGATTATTTGGGGGTTCCCCAAATAAGCTGGTAATAAGAGCAAACTTGCCTTCTTTAAAACCTCTAATTCCCTACCAACTTCAATCAACTTTCAGCAACATGAAAAGGCTGATCTTTAAACAAAAGAATGAAAAAGAAAAAAAAAAAGAAAGAAAGAAACCCAGCTCCTAAGAACACAGAAAATGCATCAAAGACTTCAACATAACCTCCAGTTTGCATCCCCAACCCCAAAACCTTCTGGTTCCTTCTGTACTAAGCTCTCAAGGATGTAAGCCTCTCACAAGTCTACAACTGCAGAACCAAATAAAAGGTCAAAGAAAAAAAAACGTAGACCTAAGGCAGGTAGCTTCTCTACCCAGCCACACCCAAAATGTAAACATAAATTCTATCTTCAATAAAGATTTTAAACAAGAAAAACAGTTAAAAGGCAAAAATCTGGAAATTTCTGGACAAAACAAAAAACTAAAATGGAGAGTTCATGTTAAAAAAAAAGAAAAGAATTCTGTCTCAAAGTTTTCTAAGGAGACTCGAAAATGATTAATTTATGTAATCACTGCCTTAAAATAGTTAGAAAAATTTAAAGTCTAGCCTTTGCTTTTCTCAAAACAGAAATGCAAGGCTGAAAAGTTACTTTACAATCCTCATGCAGTCTTCTGTTGACAATGACAATGTCAATACCTCTGCAAAACTATCTGCATTTTTCTTTCTAGCTTGTTCTGTAATAGAATCCATATGAAGGGAAGAAAACTGATGTTAAGACATTTACCATTAATATTTACTTAACATTTTTATGGTACTGGAGCTTGAACTCAGAGCCTTGTGCTTACTAGGCAGGCACTCTACCACTTAACCCACACCCTCACAGCCCTCTTATTTAACATTTTTAAATTAATGATGACACAGACATTTTTTTGGAACATTTTCCCAAAAGCTAACATCAGTCCCTTCCTACCTAAATTCAATCTTGTTCTGTCATTTGGGCAAAAAAAAAATGGCAATAACATTTTTTTTACCTCTAGAGTCAAACCACTCCAATAAGCATAAGAAATATCTTTCACTCTTTGTGATTATGAAATCCTTTAGATGAGATGTTGGTATATTTGTCCCTGGCATATAAAAGAATCAACAATTTAAGGAATTATAAGATTCTGAAGTAAATGATTTAAAAGCATAATAAAACTTGAGTTGCCTTGTGTCACTTTTAAATGAGAAATAAATAATGTTAAGAATAGACTTAAATTGGGATCAACTGATTGGACCTTGCTTGCATAATATTCCTTTCCTTCTCAATTCATTCAGGCTCCTCTGTAGCTTATACAGGGGTGAGGCTATGACTCTAAGTGCAAAAATAAACACTTCACCCAGATAAGGAAAGTGCAGGCTTCTTCTGTGGCCTAATTTTAGATCTCAGAATGCCAGCACCTTTTGTAAATCCTAATTTAAGATGGAATGTGAAAACCACTTAATATTCTCATTGTCTAAGTTCATTAATTGGGGGTTAATTTCCAATTCTACAATCATACTATTGTCACGGCTATTATGTAAAATCATTAAAAAATAAAGTGACAAATGTTATCGCAGAAGTGAAATTACTTAAGGTACTAAATTTCTAGTGTTGTAAACAGCAGCTAGATTATGTCATTTCCTGACTGCCAAATTAAGACTACATAGAAATAATGTATGTACACGGTTATCTTTAAAAATAAAAAGCAACAAAACTTCTGTGTATCCAAATATGTCTCAGAGTGTTTACTTCTGATGGTCAAGAATGAGAAATTTCAAAAACCAAAAAGTTAGCACTATGCCTGTAACCTGTTATAAATTTCTTTCCAAAAGACAAAAAAAATTCTTTGCATGCACACTTCCCTACTTACTGACATAAGAACTTTATATAGTAACATCTGGTAAAACATTCTTATTTGGCTCATGAAATAACATTATTAAAAAGCATTAAATTGGACTGTCATCTGTCTAACTAACAAGTATAGCACAAAGTTATTCCAGGAACATATACTACTAAAATTACACCAATCTATTATTAAGAATGCAGCCATTTTTCCCTCATGAATACTTACTGATGTTCATATTAATAGGAACTGCATCTTTTGTTGCATCTTTGGTGTAAAATACTAGCACAATATTTGCATTAGTGAGAAGGCCAGTGACATCCTCAGCAGTACCTGTCACTTCACATATGGCCCCTTGCATTCTCTTCTAAGTTTAGACATACTGGTATGCTCAGTATACTTTTTTTTCTTTCTATTTTTTTGGTGGTACTGGGGCTTGAACTCAGGACCTTGCATCAGTATACTTTTCTTAAAGATGGTTCAGAAGGCAAAACAGTATTTGTCAGTAAAACAATCACTTTCCAGACAGACATAGAGATCACTTCAAAGAACAAGTATTGCTTGCTTGGTGGTAGGATTTTTTTCTTTTGAAGATAATAAGAGGCCCAGAAAATATTACTTCTTGACTAGAGTCCCACTGGAAATCAACAGAAATCCTTCAGCCAGCAAATTGCTAAAGCTGATTTGCTTAAGTTCAACAAGCAAATACTCAATAGGTAAGGGTACAGCCTGACATCGATCAAACATTGAATCTTCCTGAAATGAAGGGCAGAAAACCTCTATTTAAGCTTTCTGTTCAAACAACTACGTAAGGAATCCTGATTGTTCTTTCTTGTTTTTTAAATCATAACCTTGCTCAGAACATATAAGCCAAAATGCAACACATCCAGGAACAACCTGGGGGAGAAAGCAAAGTTACTCATTTTCAACAAACTACCGAGTATTTAACCACAAACTCATTGCAAAGATAAAGTCTTCATCCAATTAATCTTTTCATTATTGCTGGTTTTGAAAATGGCCAACAATATTCATTAGGTACTGTGCCATTAACATTGCATTCAAAAAAAGAAAACATGGGAAACCAAATTCTTGCTCTCCTACTCTGCTGATAAGCTCTGGTATTGGCCAGAGTATGGTAGTACAAAAAGAGTCTTGTTGTGATATAAAAGGCAATAAACACATCAATGGAATAATGTTCATGGGCAGCCAAGATGAAGAAGATTCCAAAGAGGTTGAGAACCCAGGATAAAGTGTGCAAGAAATTCCAGCTTCTTGGTGTATCTAGGAAAAGGGCAGAAAGATCATTTTAGAACCACATTTCTTCCAGTGCTTCTCAGCTATGTGTTTCTAAGATTAGGCTGTTTTGCTCATTCTCCACAGGACTTTCCACCTCCCCCCCAAGTCTTCTCTACAGTTAGTTGTATAAAATGCAGAGACAAAGAATTGAAGAGATACTTACATTCGGTGACAAAGAAATTCAGCATTGTTAAGACAACTGTGTGACCACTGAACATGTAATCTCCACAAGTGTGAACGCCAGTCAGGGTCATACCAAAGCCACTCCAAATGGCAAAGGCCCGGTGTAATTTCTCCCATACACTGCCATATATCTATAAAAAAAAGTTATGAATTAGTGCTTCAAATACTTAGGGAGATAAGAGCTTCCCAGCATCCATTCCTGGTGAAATCTAAGTGAGGAATGACTTAGAAATAAGATCTAAGCAAAACCAAGCAGGCTCCTAGCCAAATTAATTCCAGACTGACCTCAAGAATGGGTGATCAAAGTTTGACTGTACTCAGAAAAATTTTGGTAATTAAATGAAATCACTATAACTCAAAGTACTTACAATAGTTCTTTATAATGAAAAGGTCACTATAACACAAAAACATCTCCAAGTTCTTAATCCACTATTACAGTAATGTCTTTATCTGTGGTTATAGTAATGGTTATTCTTGCCATTAAAAAATGGGCTATGACAGAGATCAAAGGCATATCCTCTCTCCCCTTCTTCACTGGTAACAGAAACGCAGATATACTGATAAGGTGTGAACTCAGCCAGAGCACTACATTTCCAGCCTGCCTTGAGCATGTGACTAAGTACAGTAAGACGCAAGCACAAGTATAAAGGATTTCTGGGAAGGGTATTTATACAGGAAAGAGACCAAAGCTCAGGAGGTCTCTTCTACCATTTCATACTTCCTTCTTCTAGTCTACAACTCAGACATGATAGCTGAGGCTGCAGTAGCCATCCTGGACCATAAAGTGGCCTTGAGGATGCAAGTCAAGAGTTATATAGGAGAGTAAAGAAGAAAGACAAATGAATCACGGGGTTCTGATGATGCTATAGTCATCATTCCAGACCTGGAATACCTGCCTTCAGACTTCATGCTTATTATTCAATAGCTAGAATTTCCTGTTATCAGCAGCCAAACAACCCCAACTCCTACAGATAAACTTAAAAAGCAACCCATTTTGAGGAAATGTTTCAATGCTTAAAATTGGAGCTTACAAAAAGAGTGAAACCAAACGCCAGTGGCTCACACCTGTAATCCCAGTTACACAGGATGCAGAGATGAAGAGGATCTCGGTTCAAGGCTAGCCCAGGTAAACAGTTCACGAAACCCTACCTTGAAAGTATCTGAAGCAAAAAGGGATGGTGAATGTCTCAAGTGGTAGAATGCCTGCCTAGCAAGTGTGAGGCCCTGAGTTCAAACCCCAGTACTGCACAAAAAAAGGGTGGGAGGATAATCACTTATAATAAGACATTTAACACATAACAATAGACAAAGCTGCTAAAATTTTATGTGAATGTTTTATGTGTTAATTTTATTTAATCTCCACAACTACGAAGTGATTCAATTTGCAGATGAAGAAATAGGCTTAGAGAGGTCACACTGCTAGTAAGTAACAAAGCCAGGACACAAACCCAGGGAGTCCAATTCAAAAAACAAGTTTTTTTTGTTTGGTTGGTTTTGTTTTTTTGGTGGTATGGGGGTTTTAACTCAGGGCCTCTCACTTGTTAGATAAGTGATCTACTACTTGAGTCATGCCCCCAGCCTCTCCTTTGCTTTAGCCTGTTTCTACATAGGGTTGCATGCTTTTGCTGGGCCTGCCCTCGGACCACAATCCTCCTATCTCCACCTCCCCAAAAGCTGGGATTATAGACATGAATCACCATACCCAGCCCCAAAGCCATATGTCTTAAAGACTCTTTTATGGCTAATGACCAAAAGAGACAACTTCATTAAATGTCACAATCTCATTAGAAATCTCACCAAATGATTATACACTGACGAGATTTACCTTTCTGCCTCAGTTGAGGCAGAGAGGAGTATTTTACTTTTTTTGGGGGGGGGGAGTACTGGGGAGGGAGAGAAATTTATTATTAGAGAAAAAGGAAGGTATTAAATAAATATAGGTTGCTTCTCCCATGAGTACTAATGAGTATATGTATGTTATACTTGAGAAAGCAAAATAATCACAGAGAAGAGACTGTTAGGAAAATGTCTCAACCAAGGAAAAGGAACCAATGATGCCAGTCTCGAGTCAGTAACTCTCCTCACCCTTTTTCATATTAAATACGTCATATATTCTTATAGAAAATCAAAGCTGAAATACAACAGAGCAGAATGAACAGGATTCTTTGACTAGACAAGGTAGAAAAATTTGCTTAAAGTGTTCCCAAATTTCAAAAACAGGGGGAAGGAGGTAGAGGGGGGAATATAACAGGGGGCAAACTTGTTTAAGGTACACTATACACATGTATGGAATTACTGCAATGAAATTCCCTCTTATTATTAATGTATGATAGATAATTCAAAAATGAAATAAAAAATTAAAAAAACAAAAACAGGCATGTTGTTCTGTGATTTCAAGCAATTAATTTATGGAGTTCACTGTAAGAGATTCACTGTAAGAGATTTGATTGCTGGTTGCTATCTCCTTAACTTTGTATTTTTAATGATTACTGCAAATAATCCAGGTCAGTAAGTAGGCTATAACATATATCAAAGCAATTAACAGTACTTAGGGCAGATTTGATTAGGAATATCTATATATAACTAACTGATAATGGAGAAACAATCAGAAAAAGGGTGCCCATACTGTAGAGGATGGCATCTTATTTATTTTTGTAGCACACGTTGCAGCCCAATTCACATAGATCCATCCTTCTCTTTGGTGGCTGCTCCACAATTAAATCCTTCAGTGACAGGGTATTCTCTTGTCTGTATAACAAGCTTTGTAGGGGAATAAAATATCCTACCCCATATATACTTCTTTGGGCTCTTCAGAGAATGTTATTCAGAACTTCAGACAGAAATAGCTCTGAAAAATCTGTCCTTTGGTAGAAGAAATTCACATCTAACTATATTAACAAAGTAAGCAATGGATGCAAATTTGCACACCAAGCAGATCTGCAGTCTCCAGATCTGCCTAGGAGAGACGTTCCACAAGAAGGAGAGATTGGGGTTCTGACAACTGCCTCAGACCTCAGAGATGACCACAAGTAGTCTTCTGAGGGCTGCTACCTGTCTGTATAGTAATACAGCCTTTAGCTGGGAGTGGTGGTACATGCCTACAATCCCAGTACTCAGGAGGCTGAAGCAGGAGGATCAAGAGTTTGAGATCCGCCTGGGCTATAGAGCAAGACCGTATCAAAATAAAAAATAAAATAATAAAATAAAATAAAATAAAAAACAGCCTTGGATGGCCGTGCAGTTACTCTCCTGAACCTCCCTAGAGTTGTGTTGCTACTTCCAACTTCTTTGGGAACCCTCAGCTTCTCATTCCTTTGTGTAATACAGGGTATAAACTTCGGTCTCATACTTTGTGTATGGCTCCCATGCTTCCACACATTAGTAAATTTATATGTTTTTCCTCCTAGTTGTCTATCAGTTTATTTCATAGACTGAAATGATCATATATTTTCAGAGGTACAAAATAATTTAAAATCTTCTACAGTTTATGTTTTTCTTCTTTGGAATCTTTTCTAACAATTAGCATACTATCTGAGGGAAAGAAACTATTGTATCCTAACTTCACACCATGTACAGAAACAATTTTAACATAAATTAATACACTGAAAGTATCAAGATATCATATTTTATTAATCAGATTGCAGTGAATAAGCAGTGTGAGCAAGAGAGATTTTGCGTTTTTGGCGGGGGGAAGAGTAGGGAGACTAGAAAGATCAATTCTTTTTTTTTCTGCAGGGTCTAGTGCATGTTAAGCAAACATTCAACCACTGAGCTATATCCCCAGTTGCAGAAAAGGATCACTTCTTTTATTAGACATTACCATCTACCACCATATGCAGCATTGTTTTTCCTTTTTTTCTGGTTTGAATTCAGGACCTCACGTTTGCTAGGCAGGTGCTCTACCACTTGAGCCATCCGCCAGTCCAACACTGTAGTCTTTGCTAACGGGCTGTTTATAGTTGCTATAACATAGGTTATACTGTGTGACTGAAACCTATGAAAAACTCTAAATTAAGGTCATAAATCGATGAAATAAATCAGTATGCGTAGATATGGACACAGTCAAAGAATAGTTGATATATGGTTACATTGCCTTCATAGTAAAATATTTAATGTTGCTCTATTCCTACTTCAAAGGAATATACACTCATGCTTTACACAAGTTATTAAACAACTAGGAAACTAGCTTCTAGTTTTTTCTTCTTTTGTAATCTAATTTCCAAAATAAACTTTGAATTTCTTCACTTTTGTGGCTTATAAGGAACTTATTTTTATAGAATAGCCAAAAATGTTTGACAGAGAAGCCTATAGATTTGCATAGATATGAAACACAACAAAATGGGAGAAAAATGAGCATCACTCTGATGACTATTTTTTATCAAATATTTCTGAGTGATGTATTGTTAATGTGTCTGGAAAACAAATCAAATATATTTGAAGACTCAATATCATCCTTCAGAAAGAAAAACTTACTATTTAAAAACTGGAAAGTGAATCTTTGTTCAAGTAAGTGGCCTAGAAACTAGCTTTCTCAAGTGGCCATTTTAGGAATACATTGTATGTAATTTTTAATGAGCATGCCTTTAATTCCCTAATTGTATCTCCAGTAATTTACCTTAAGAAGATAAATTAAGTGCGAAATAACAAAGTGGATGCTGACTATAACACTGTTTATAAATAGTAAAATTTGAAAACAACCAAAATGAGTATCATTTGTAGACTGGAAAATCAAACAGTGGAATATTGTACACTTGTTAAAAAGGCAAATATAATTACATGTATTTCTTCAGAAAAAGTAAAGAACAATGCTGCAATATAATCCTTCATTTAAAAAGTATCTATCTAAGAACTGGGCACCCATGGCTCAGGTCCCAGGCAAATAGTTCAAGAGAACCCCCATCTCAGGCTGGTGGAGTGGCTCAAGCAGTAAGAACACCCACCTAACAAGCGTGAGGCCCTGAGTTCAAAGAGAGAGAGAGAGAGAGAGAGAGAGAGACACCCCATCTCCAAAACAAAATGGATTAGAGGTGTAGCTCAAGGGGTAAAGTGCACTTGCAAAGCCCTGAGTTTAAACCTTAGTTCTACCAAAAAAATAATACATATATCCATCTATGTGAACTTTTTTGAATAAGAACTCTTTAAATATGGCTTGTGTGGCTGGAGGCATGACTCAGGTGTTATAGTGCTTGCCTAGCAAGCATAAAGCCCTGAGTTCAAACCTCAGTACACCAAAAAAAAATTTTTTTAATTTTTTAAAAATTCAATAAAACACTTGCTTTACATGAAATCTAAGTATATTAATCAGCCCCCTTTCTGACTACTCAGCCTTAGCATTCCTAACAACTGAGAAGTTTGTTAGCTCAAGGGTGTTATTTTTAGCTCTCAATCTCCTTTGGCTGCTTAATCTTCCCTAGTTGGTACATCAGCTATTTATATTGCAGGATAGGAACTGACACCTAATTTTGTCTTAAAGTAACAACAACGGTATTGAAAGATACATTTGAATATTTGGGAGCTAAAGCATAAAGGCTTAGAAAGTAGGATAATAAAATTTTTTTGTACAAATTTAACCAGTCAGTCACAACAACCAATTTTGTGTATCAAGTGCAGGTGAGATTTAAAAAAAAAAAAAAAAAGCCTCTGTTTTTCTTTCTATCAGCATAATTTCTCCTCTTTTAGTTTAACCAATAGAAATATGTCTACAAACTATTAAAAAAACAAGCTATAAAGTACAAAACAAAAATCTACCATTATCTTATATATCCCAGAAAGAGCTTAAAGTACTGGGTACTATATTTTAAAAGGAGTATTTTCAAACTACAACATTTAAAGAAAAGGAGTGATGAGGACAATGAAGGGACCAGAGCATGCTATATGAAGATCTAAAGATGCTGAGGATGGTGGTAGAAAGGGAAAATGCAGGGGGAAAAGATAATTGAAAGACATTTTTTTCTATAGCACCAAACCCCAGAACTGGTATCAATGCATAGAAATAATAGGGAGACAGTGTCTGGCTTAAGATGGTTACCAAATTATTCCTACAGGTTTACTTACAGATATTAAATAAGCACATTTTAATAGTAATAGCAAAATCTAAGTCCTATTGCATACACTGTGCTATCAATCCAAAAAGAAAGAGTGATAAAGAAGGTAGCAGGCTACCTTTCCAGTACACTGCAGGTGCTGTCCTGGCACGGAGAGGGAGGTCACAAACATGGTAAAGCAGCGAAGCAAGAACACAGTGCCCATCAGACTACAGAGCCTTCGCAGAAGGATTGACCTGTGAACAGAGCGACCAAAGAGGGGGAAGATCAGAAGAAAACACACCAAACCCCTCCTCCCAGGTATCAAATGTTTACCTAGAGGAAAGCAAGCAGAAAAACCAGCAGTCTTTTTTTGAAGAGGACAAGAATCGCAGAGGCCATCTAAAGCATCACTATCCTATAGAACTCTCTATAATGATGGAAATGTTCTGTAACTACACTGTACAATAAGCTGTGGCTCTTGAGCACTTAAAATGAGGAAGGTATAACTGAGGAACTGAGCTTTACAATTTTATTTCATTGTAATTAATTTAAAGTTCAATAGCAACATGTGCCTACACCTGCCATGTTGAACAGAACAGACTTAAATTAGATTCTAAGAATCATTTCAGTGATAAAATATAGCTAAAAGAAAGATTTATGCAAGATAGAAATAACACTAGTAAGCTTAGTGTTAGTCCCACTGCTCACAAATTGCTCATATTATTTATATGTAAGAGGGAGGTAATCACTTAATAACAGTGGCTAACACTCATTCTAACTTTCCTAACTTAAACTTAAGCTATAAACTGCTAAGTTCTTTTTTTTTTAAATACTGAGTTTTATATTGGGTATCTAAAAAATTTTGAATAACAGTAATTTGGGTAATCATGAACTATACTGTGATATCATTTCTGCTGTTATATCTTTAAATGTTCTAAATTCAAACAGACTGAAATTCTTGGGGACGGGGACTTTTACATGTCTTCAAAATGCTTTTCTCTCTCTCTCTCTCTCTCTCACACACACACACACACACACACACAAAGCACTGAGAGCTGAGTATGGTGGTTAATGCCTGTAATCCTAGCACTTGGGAGACTAAGGCAGGAGGACTGAGAGTTTGAGGCCAGCTTGGACTACACAGCAAGATCCTATCTCACAAAAAGAAAAAAAAAAAATCAAACACAAGGTTGTGTATGTTTCAAACTGTAGTGCACGTATTTGGAAAAGAGTCTAGGAATCTACATTGTAACAACTCTCCAGGTGATTTTAATGAAAGTGACACAAAGACTTTCCTCTGAAAACTACTTTCTTTAAGTAAACATTGTAATTGCATATACCTGGCTACCACTATGCTTTACTGAATCTAAGAAGATTTCCTATAAATTAAACTTTTCTTTTGTTTTGAAGAGTGGATAAATTCAAATCCACAGGATCTTGTGAAGCAAAGCTAACCTGAAAAAGGCAGTGATACATGTGTTTTAAAATACTTCCGGTTTTAAGCAATCCAGAATTAAAAATATTGGTGCAAAGCAGGACAAAACGGGACAGGAAAAGGCTCAATATGGCCATAAAATGTGACGAGAACAGCAATCATCAACTTTTTTTTTCACCTTCAAAGCACTGAAGTGACTGTAGCTTAGGAAATAGTCTATCATGTGGTTACCTCCACCCTTCCTGGGAAGGAGAAAGGACAGAAATTTACAAGAAAGTGACCTTATTCTTCCCCTGGATTCCCAAGACAACAGACAGCAGACAGTCAAAAAAATTTTTTTAATTTTTTTCTCACTAGGCCTTGTTTTTTACTTAAATCAACAAATATTCCCCATTAAAGTAGGAAAGGAGCCTCCCTCCCCTTACGCCTCTTTATTTTTTTGAACTCAGGGCTTCACAAAGCAGGTATTCTACTGCTTGAGCCACACCTCCAGTCCATTTTGCTCTGATTATTTTGGAGATGGGGTCTCGAAAACTATTTTGCCCGGGCTGGCCTCAAACTTCAATCCTCTTAATCTCAGCCTCCCAAGTAGCTAGGATTACAGGTGTGAGCCACCAATGCCCCGTTCCCTTATGCTTTTTTTTTTAATTAAAAAAACCTCTTCCCTTTATATTTCTTGGTGAAAGTGCCAAGAAGCATTTCCCCTATTTATAGCAACTTCCTACACCATCTGAAGCAAACTACACTTCAGATGTGCATGGTATTCAAAATAATCCTTTCTTAAACAGGCATCCTCCAAGCAGAGAACAATGTATTCCAACCAAACATTTAACCACTGTCGTTGGAGGAGTTTCTATCCTTCTACAGAAAGTGGTATTTCCAGTTAGTTTCTTTAAAAAAAAAAACAAACTAGTAATAATGCTAGACTGGCAAGGGTTGGCCCACAGTTGATCATCCCAACTCCCGCTTTACCCTGCAATATATATTAGGAATATTAGTAAATATGTAGGTTACTACTTTCGGCTGATTCTTGTTGCTCAAACCCCAAACATTTTCCTTTGTCAAAAACCATAATGTCACACGGGCCAGAGAAAGAAATGAATCAGGAAAATGGTAAAGGAGGGACAAGGCGAGGGGACCTTACATAAAAGAGTCAAAACAGTCTCAGTCTTTTAATGGAATAAGTGAAGTACCTGTGCTTGTGAAGAAGAAGAACCAGGATCCAAATATAGCACAGAATCATGCCACATACTTCAGTCATGGCAAAGGCCCATGGGATTCTAGGAACGCTGGAACAGAAAAAAAAGTTTTAGAACTGAAGGGGAGATGACAACCTTTTCAATAAGATAGTTGTCTTTTTCTTATGTGTGTGTTGGGTATTTTTGAGATAGGGTCTCTTGAACTATTTGCCTAGGCTGGCCTCAAACCTCCATCCTCCTGATCTCTGCCTCCCGAGTAGCTATGATTACAGGCATGAGCCACTAGGGCCTGGCATAAGACAGTTTTCTAATAATGACATTAAATGGCTTTATGTAACTTTTATTGGAGAGCATTGGGAAAAAAATCTGTTTAAAAAAGTATTCCACTTATTAGAACCTGCTTGTTGTCTGTGATGTCCAGTCATGGTTCTCTGTAAAGAAGTAACAACCCTTCTCTCCTATCCTGTAGCACAGCAGATCTGGTAGAAATGGAAAAAAGGCCTGTTTCTTGTATGATGTGTTTACTTCAGAATCCTGACAATCAGAACTTCAACTTTTTTTTTTTTTTCAGTACTGGGGACTGAACTCAGGGCCTTGCTCATGCTAGGCTAACACTCTACCACTTGAGTCATGTCTCAAGTCCTTCTGTTTTTGTGATAGGATCTCCCTAACTTTGCACTAGCTGGTTTTGAACTCAAGATCATCCAGCCTCTGCCTCCCAAGTAGCTGGGGTTAAAGGTATGCAGCACCACTATACCAGACTGAACTTGACTTTTTAAAAAAGTATTTCCACCACTAACAGTGTAAAACTATTTTAAACAATGTGTGTGTGTAATAGAAATTTTAAAGAGTTTATGTTTAAATATTCAGAAGTCATTTAAACGAATCTTTATTGAAAATTTATGTGAATAATTCTTTTCCCAGTAATGTCAAATAAATAAGGGTGTAATAGGTTTTGTTTAGAATCAGAAAGTAAGTTTTTTTGTTCATTTTTAAACTTCATTTCTATTTGTCTCCTTTGTTTTGTATCTGTTTTATCTTTTCTGTGTTTCTTTTCTCCTTACCAAATCCTGTGATTACCACTAGTAAAGACAGTTTATACTAAGAGAAGAGAAAAAGAAGGGACAGAGAGAGGGACAGAAGGGAAGTAGAAAAGGAAAGGAGATTACATCCTTTGCTTCGTGGAAACTTTCTTGTATATTTTAAGATGATTATTTTCCCATTCATTTTCTCTATGTGTTCTTTTTGGACTGTTTATGGCCAAGTGGCCCAATCTAAGTTTTTCTATTTGTTATCCCTTTGTTCTATGTGCTAGGCAATTTCATCAAATCTAGATTCCAATTGTCCTGTCAGATTTTTTAATTTCCTTCATTTTTAATTTTCTGAATGCTTTCCCCTCTTGAATTTTTTTTATATTTTCATTAACGTTTCATACAATGTAACATTTCTTATCTCTCTGAGAATATAATTTTTTAAGTGTTCATCTGCCCCCTATTTTGTGTTTCCCAAAGGATTTCTTTTTTTGTTTGTTTGCATTGATCTGTTTTCTTCAAATGTCTGGTTATTCTGGACTCATCTTTCATATTTGACAATGAAGTACTAAAAAAAGATAATGAGACCTTCTGTATAATCAGATGTTCTAAGTGCATGGATTGAGCTTTGGGAAATTTGGGATTTGCTGCATAGTGATTGGGCAAAGGTCTGATGGATTATATGAGGATATCACCCCAACCACAGTTACCTACAGTAAAGGTGTAGGTTTCTAAGAAGAGGAATCTGTTATTCTGCTTGGAGGACTGGAACTGGGAAGGAATGAAGATGGGATATGGATCTGGCTACTTTCAGGAAGGGAGCTGGAAGTCTTGGTGGTTACAATGTAGACTTTTAGTTGATACCCTTGAAAACACAGAGCACCTTTGCTCTCATAGTGTTACTAAGTCCACATACTCAAATGAACTGAGGAATAGTCTATCAGTCTTCTGTTGGGATAGAAAAGATCTAAAACCTCCTTAGATTTTCAACCAATTCTTTCATATTTAGCTCCTATCTGTACCTGGCTTTAAATGATGGGTGCCTCCTGCTTTGTGGGTTTTTTTTCCAGAGCTCTACTGTACAAATAGACTCACTTCTTGGGTACTATCACCACTCACCCCCAAATCGCACAACAGGCACTTGGGCACTTGGCTTTCTTCCTGCCAAACTTTCATATTATCACTGTTCTTGTCTTTATGGGATTATAGGGTTTCTCCCCCTTTTTACTGTTCTTTTAGAAGAGAATATCTGTCAAATATTTAGTCAATCCTTCATATTTATTTTTTGTGCAAAGCTTTAAAAAATACATTTATATATGTATTTGCCTTTTTCTGGGCAGCACTTATTCCTTTAGTAATTCAAAGTCATCATTATGAACAATGATTATTATACTGTACATGGTACATGGTAATGACCTCAGGGACTACTGAGAAATGAAGGGCAGTTAAGTCCCAGATCAATGTGATTTTTCCATTATTTATGTTTGCTTTTTATAGTGCTTCTGTTACCTCTCTTGCTATTTTCAGCTGCTTCTCACTGCTGTAATTTAGCTTGCCTCAAGAAATACACTTGGGTCTTTCTAATTTTCTGAAGCTCTATGTGCTGAAGCTCTTAGAATTGTGTAAAACAGCTATCAGAGGCAAATCCTGGAACAAGGATAAGTGTGAAAGAAATTTATGAGAAAGGGTTCATACCATAGGGTAGTAGGACAGGAAATCAGGAAGGAAGAGAAGCAAAGTAAAAGGTGAGACATCAAGCAAAACTTTGTGGTGAACTCAGGAATAGATAACTTTGGGTCAGTCTGATGGGGAATTTGGAACTGTGTAGGTTCAAGGTAACTATTGCCCCAGTTACAGCAAAGAGAAATGAAATATTTATATACTACCTCATCAGTCACTGGTTAAGAATTGCTGCTAGAGGGATGTGAATTTCTAAGCATTTTTGGCTCTCTTTTTAAGCAGGCAAAGTATATTCCAGTAGCTCAAAAGCAGGCCCCCACCAGACACATCTGCTAGGTATTGGGAGCATCGACGTGCAGGAAAATGGGAAAAAGATGTGAGGGGATACAGGAAAAAAACATTGACAACTTCTAGATTATTCTCTGATGAATAAAGTTGAAATTCATAAGAGTATTAAGCTTTAGGCTGAGCATGATAGGTCAAACCTGTAGTCCTAGGGAGGCAGAATTTGGAAGGATCGTTGTTCAAACCCAGCATGGGGGAAAAGATCAGGAAACTCCAACTCAACCAATAGGTGGGTGTGGAGGTGCATGCCTGTCCATCCCAGCTACATAGGGAAGCACAAATAGAAGAAAAGTGTAGGCCAGCCCCAGGCATAAATGTGAGACCCAATTTCAAAACTGAGGGCTGGAGATAGGTCAAGTGGTAGAGCGCCTGTCTAACAAGCACAAGGTCCTGAGTTCAAACCCCAGTGCTGCAAAAAAAAAAAAAAAAAAGTCTAGCGCTTTGTAGTGAATGACACTGCAGAGAAAAATTTGGTTTCAAATTCCCATTGTAAGTTGAAAACATGTGCCTGCAAAAAGTTTCGTACATAAAATGTTCATAGCAACATTGTTAATAATAGCTAAAAGGTAGAAACAATCTCAATTTCCATAAAATGATGGATAAACATATTACTTGGTAATAAAAAATGTTATTACATGCTACAAAATGGATGAATCTTAAAATCATGATACCTGAAAGAAGCCAGAAGAAAAAAAAGACCACATATTGTGTAATTTCCAATGCCATAGAAGCAAAACACATTAGTGGTTGCCAGGGTATGAGGGAAGAATGGAATGAGTATGATTTTCTTTTCTGTTTGGAGACAGGGTCTTGCTACACAGGCCAGACTGGCCTTGAACTCATGATCCTCCAGCCTCAGCCTTCCCAGTGCTGGGATTACAGACATGTACCACCATGCCTGGCTGAAGTATGGTTTCTAATGAGTATAAATTTCCTTTGAAATGATGAAAATGTTCTGTAATTAGTGGTGATGGGTATACAACTTTGTAAATGTACCCAAAACCACTGAATTGTGTATTTGTTTTCTCTCATTTTTGATGGTACCCAGGACTTCACTCATGCTAGGCAAGCACTCTACCACTTGAACCATGCCCCTAACCTGGGTCTCACTTACCTTTGCCAGGGCTGGCCTTGAACTCACAACCCTCCTCCCTCCACTTCCTGAGTGGCTGGGATTATAGACATACACCACCATGCCTGGTGAACTGTACACTAAAATAAAATCTTCATTGCTCTTCCAAACCATTTTCTCTTCTTTCTTCTCTTAGGTCTTGGTATAGTCATTCACAGAAGATCAATATCTGTTCTCTCATTTTAAAAAATTATTTTTAAGGAGCCAGACATGGTGGCTCAGGCCTATAATTCCAGCTACTCAAGAAGCAGAGATCTGGTGTATCATGGATTGCAGCCAGCCGGGCAAAAAGTTAGTGAGACCTCATCTCAACCAACAGCTGGATGTGCTGGCACATGCTCGTCATTTCAGCTACACAAGAAGAATAAATAAGAGGATGGAGGTTCAGGTTGTTCCTGACAAAAACATGAGACCCTATTCCAAAAAAAACCAAAGCAAAAAGGGCTGGGAGGTAGCTCAAGCAGTACAGCTTCTGTCTACCAAGTACAAGGCCCTGAGATCCACCCCAAGTGCCAGCAAAAAAAAAAAAAAATTATCTTTTGGATCACTCTTTCTTTCTCTCCAATACTTCTCCTGTTGTAGTTTATGTTCTTGCTTACTTCTATTTTACTTCTCTTCCTATGATTTTATCTTCTATCCTACTAGAGCAACTTAAACTCATTGGTGTAACCCAAAACTTCTCATTACTATTACTCCTAATAACCTCAATTTCAATAACTCTAGTTGTCTAATACGCCTATGCTTTAGACATGTAATAAACTTTTTTTGGGAGGGGTGCAGGGGATTGATCCAGGACCTTGAGCACACTAAGCATGTGCTCTACCACCAAGCTATTACCCCTCCCCCGATCATATGTAATAAATTCTGTGTGTTCTTAAACAAACAAACAAAAAATCTGGTAT